ACAGAAGGTACCCTCATCCGTTGGTGACTCGCCCAATACTGGAAGTATGAGGCGAGAAGGGGAGAATGGTGAGAGGCAGATGAATAATGTAGAGAATAATATAGAGAAATCGATTTCTCTAACGATTCCTTGGGAAGGAGAACTGGTTGAGGAGGAGCAGGAGAATAAAGAAGAAGAAGATAAGGAGACAAGAGGTGTTAGGCCCACGGCTCAGGGGGAGCTACTTACCTATAGTAGGAAGGGGAAGCAACTTGCGGAAACAGTACCTACAGTGCCACTAGTGCCAAGTCCCTTATCAACGCCTGTCCCGACTCCTGAGACACCTACACCACCATCAGATTCCTTCCAAGGTGATATCAATCCTCCCCTTACTCCTCCCACACCAGTATCAGTACGGAGGACTACTCGCAGCAATGCGGGACATCCTCCCGATAGATATGGTTGGGATCTTGCCCAATTTATATCATATTCTAATATCCACCCTGCACATGGAGCATTCATTGCATCATTGGATTCTGTTACTGTACCTAACAATTGGCAGGTTGCTAAGAAGGATCCAAAGTGGAAAGCAGCTATGCATGAGGAGCTAGGAGCTCTTGAGAAAAACCGCACTTGGGAGCTAGTAAAATTACCAGAAGGGAAGAGAGCAGTTGGGTGCAAGTGGGTCTTCACTGTGAAGCAGAATCCAGATGGACAAGTTGAGCGCTACAAGGCTCGTCTGGTGGCAAAAGGGTATAGTCAGACATATGGCATCGATTATGATGAGACTTTTGCACCGGTGGCGAAGATGAGCACTGTTCGGACCTTAATCTCTCTGGCAATAAATGGTGGATGGAAGTTACACCAACTAGATGTGAAGAATGCATTTCTTCATGGAGATCTAGTGGAGGAGGTATATATGGAGATACCACCAGGATTTGGTACAGATCAGACAGTGGGAAAGGTCTGTAGATTGAAGAAGTCTCTCTATGGGCTGAAGCAGTCTCCTCGTGCTTGGTTTGACAGATTCAGAAGGGCTATGATTGGTATGGGGTACCAGCAGATCAACGCCGATCATACCGTATTCTTTCGACGAAGTGGAGGCCACATTACCATGCTGGCGGTATATGTGGATGATATGATTATTACAGGAGATGATGAGAAGGAGATTGCCCAACTCAAAGTAAGACTGGGTAAGGAATTCGAGGTGAAAGATCTTGGCTTGCTTCGATACTTTCTTGGAATAGAGATAGCTCGAGGAGCGGAGGGAATCGTCCTATCCCAGAGAAAGTATGCACTGGATCTTCTCAAAGAGACAGGGATGTTAGGGTGCAAACCTGCAACTACACCGATCGACCAGAAGTTCAAACTAGGTGCTGAGGCCGGAGAACCAGTTGATCGTGACAGATACCAGAGGCTGGGGGGAAGATTGATCTATTTGAGTCACACACGTCCTGATATCTCTTTTGCAGTGAGCGTGGTGAGTCGCTACATGCACGATCCGAGGAAGGGTCATATGGACGCTGTGTACCAGATTCTGAGATATTTAAAGAGTGCCCCCGGGAAGGGACTGATATTCAGGAAGAATGGACATGTGAACATCGAGGGTTATTGCGACTCTGATTGGGCTAGCTGTGCTGATGACAGGAGATCCACCTCAGGATATTGTATCTTTGTAGGAGGTAACTTGGTCTCGTGGAAGAGCAAGAAGCAATCGGTGGTAGCGAGATCAACAGCTGAAGCAGAATATAGAGCCATGGCCTTAGGAGTTACAGAGTTATTGTGGTTAAAGAGTATGTTGGTGGAGCTGAAGCTGGATCAAGGAGCCAAGATGAAGCTGTGGTGTGATAACAAGTCAGCCATCAGTATCGCCAACAACCCAGTGCAGCATGATAGAACCAAACACATCGAGATCGATAGGTTCTTCATCAAAGAGAAGTTGGACAATGGACTACTGGAGTTAAGTCATGTTCCAACTAAGGATCAGGCAGCAGATTGTCTGACTAAGGGGCTTAGCTCAGTAGATATGATTAGAGGATGTGACAAGATGGGCTTAGTGGATATCTTTCGCCCATCTTGAGGAGGAGTGTTGAAATAGTAATATGTTTAGGGGCTTATGTGTAAGTTGTAGGGGCCTATATAAGCCCATCTTATCTCATGAATAAGATTAGGGTTTTCATTTACAACAATAACATCTAGGGTTCTTTCCTGTAAACCACGTTATATTTACAGTCAATTCATGGAACCATCTTATATTTCCAATTTATAATTCAGCCACATACAAAATTAATTTATCTTTAAATCAACAATCTGACCCCACTTTGCTACTAAATTTCTCTAAAATTTTAACAATACCCTCACTTAATCTCATGTGGAGAGCTTTCAGAGCATCAACAAGAGAGGTCGTGTGCGTTACACGTAAGATGAAATAAATGTATTGTTGGATTCAAAGAAATTTTAGCAGTAAAATGGGGTATGGTGGTTGATTGGTGGAAGAAAACCTTTATAGATGATTTAGATATAAATTGGAAATATGAGGTGGTTTACATCAATTGATCCTAAATATCTAGAAAAAACCCTAACATCTAACATAAGTAGGTACATATACAAATAAAATTTCACATAACCCCTAATAAGTCAGGTGTTTGTCACTTATCCCCCAAAAAGTATGAAAATTTCACTTTACCCCTAATAAGCTGTCAGAAAACACCCAAAACTAACATCATTAGTCTTGATGTCACTTGCTAAGCGCTGTCAAAGGACCAAAATACCTCTACTTTTTACAAAAACTCTTCGCGACTTCTATTATATTTTCACCCTAAAATCATTTTCCCTCTTCTTTGTCTTCTCTACTCGTGTTCGCTCCAGGTCAGAGCTCCTTATCACTTGCCAGCAAACCGCACAAGTTTCTAGGCATTTTCAAGATTATTAAGACTAAAATAATATATATTGTATGTATATATGTATGTATGTATGTGTGTGTGCGTGCGAATGTGTTTGTATCTGTGTGGGTGTGCAATGATAATCACGAGGAGGGAGGGTGGGAGGGAGGGACTTGCATACAAAGACATGTTCATGCATCCAAGGTTCTAGCAGTCATTTTTAATGATATAAAACATATACTGTGGACATACATACTAATTTTTTTGACCTACTATACATATTTATGACTTTGCAAAAGGAATATGATTTAACCTCCAGCTTTATACAAAATGTGAGACATATTAAAACTTAGGTTATTCAAGTCAATCTTTAGCAGTTTTGAGTGTTATGTTCGGTGTATAAATGAAAATAAATAGATATCTCAAACACGTTATATGAATAAAGAAGTGTATGCACATTTCTGTAGTTGACGAAATATTTTAAACATGTATTATGTAGTTGAGGAAATGTTTCAAATTTGAATAAAAGTATGCACATTTCCAGGGAGGGTCCAAGAAAGTGTCAATTTCCGGTATGAGTGTCCGAGAATCACACATGAGTAAGTCTTCATGGTAGAACTACACATGCTACACAGCTGAAGGATTTCTTCTAGCTGTCTCTAAGAGGTCCTTAGTTATGCAAGTTATGATTGTAGAGTTTCTCAGGCTATCCTGAAAGGCTGCAAAAGTAAAAGTAAAGGTTTTTTTTAAGGATCTCATTACAACATAGGATTGTTCTAGCTAAAGGGATAAAAGCTTATGTAATTCCTAAAGGCTATGAAGACAGCATTATCACAAAACAATGGACCTAATTGTTTATGTTTGTGCCATTTGGATATTTGTCTCATGTCCACAGGAATTCAACTAGAGTTTGCCTATATTTACTAGCACATGGATTCTGGCATGGATAGAGTTAACAGGCTTAATGCCAATATGGTATCTTCTCATGATGTGCCAAGTTCATATTGGTATTTCTGTCCAAATTCCAAACTTAATTATTTTAGTTTTATTTTATTTATCTTTCCTTTTTGCACTTTCTGGAGCACATGCTCTTGGAGTATCATGTTTAAGGCGAGTAGTCAACTAGAAATTGGGGATTGATTTATTTATCTTCTGTCTTGATCATAGTGCATTTATTAATCCAGTTGGAGTTGTTTTGACCATGATTATCGTGAAAATAATAACATAACTTGAGAAATAAGAAAGAAAAGATTCATTACTAGGAGGATATAACGTTAAGAATTCCTAAATAACTATTATAATTAAACAAATCTTACAAAATTCTGATGTAAGAGAAGTATGTGGATTCAATAGTCAATGTCTGACAAGTAGAACTCACAGCGACATTAATATCTACTATATTTTTATGAGGAGGCTGAAAATTGTTCCATATTATTTTTTCCTTCCATATTTTGTCTTATGGTTTGAACTTTGATTCTTTCTGATAAAACCAAATTCTGAGCAAACTTGCTAAGCCATCTGAGATTTTGGTTAATTCCCACAATTTGGGCATTAGGAGTCCCTTTCCTATTGCTGAAATCCCACATTGATGGGACCTTTTCTCCGATGTTCCGTCTGCGTACTGCAGTTTGGAGAATGGGAATGTTTCCTTAAGGCAGTGGTTAGTCCACATGAATTTTGTTATTCAACTGAGGAACTTCTCTTTTCCTATTCATCTAGTAAGAATACTGAATTCCTCAATTTCACCATCTGAAAAAGTTGAAAAGGTACTTCCATAGTATAATATCATGCTCTGCTATTGCATCTTGTAGTTTTGGCAGATCATGATAGTACAACTCGAAGTACCCCTGCCACCATTATTTGGCAAATCATGTACATCCTCAATTTCTTTACACGATTACATATTATTTTACTCTGAAATAAAATTCTAGGTGATTTTTGTGAAAACCAATCTTAAAACTTGTACCATAATATACCATTTGTTTTGCCTTTATCATGCACAATTTCTTTTTGTCACAGAACAATCATCCTGCAGTTGATTTTCTGGTCCAAATGACAATTCATAAAACTATAATTTGTTCTTTACTGTACACGCTATTATTGAAAGCTAATCTTTTGATGTTTGTTGTATCCTTGTAGAGACCTGCATCTGTCAAAATTGATGCTCGAGATATAACAGGTGCTAAGTTTAAAGTCAATTTATCGGGCCTTCCTGCAAGAGTGTTTCAGCATGAATTTGACCATTTGCAGGTTGCATAATCTATTTTGTTCTAGCACATGATTGTTCTTTTAAGTTGATAAAAATGTTTTATTCCTACAGAGTTCATATGGAATTTAAGTGTAAAAAAAGTGAAATTATTTTCTACAATTTTCCCCTGTTCCTACAAAATTTCCTAAGGATTCCAGAGTTGGATGATCTAAAACACAGTTTGTGAATTTACAGGGTACTCTTTTCTTTGATAGGATGAGCAAAGATGTGCTTGACAGCGTTCGCTCAGAGCTAAAGGTCAGTAGTACCATATTTTTTCTAGATTCCATGCAATGAATCATTCAGTGATTATTTTTCTATCACCCATGCATTGTGTCAGCTTCTTGTCAATGCCTCTCTGGAGTTTCTTAGTCAAGTTTGATGCATCTTAGTTTATCTGGATGTTCCAAAAAATCCACCATTCTTGTGTTTGAACATCACTCGAGCTATTACGGTCGTTCATATTCAGCCACTTCTATAATTTCTTTCTGGCTCCTCCTTGAGAGCTGCTTTCTCAATCTGCGTCAAGATTTCGAGCTGTCTCAAATCCTCACCGTGAACTTGTTTTACTAAATTGAACCATATACCAAATTCATTTCCATGTAGTTTCCTACTTATGATCTTGGTTCATTAACAAATCCGATCAACCTTCAAGTAAACAATCTAGTCTCTTAAAAAATAAAAACTTGAAACCATCAATTTTAAATTGGGCCATCCTTCAATAGCGTAAGTTCCTAATAAGAACAAAAGACTTACCATCAAGATGGATCTCAAAGGTCTTTGTGTTGTAATGAAAATCCAAGTCTATATTAGACCTAAGTCTTTAGGCTGCATGGAGAAATGTCAGATCTCAAATAGAATTTTGAGAACTTACATTGGAATTAGAATTTTTGATCTACAAGCTAACAGAGTAACAGTTGTCATCTCCTCTCAATCCGACTCTCTTATGCACAGTGATTTTTACCAATGCTTCCAACCTCACACAAACTCACAATATACCTAAGGTTTAGCTTTAATTTGAAGTGTTCAAATAAAATGAAAATTTTCCTTGAAGTTCGTTTTTGTGTGTTTATAGGGATCCCCATAAAATGGTAACTAAGAGTAGATTGATGAGTCTATTACCTTAGCTTACGAAGTGCGACACTAGTGGAATATCAGATGTATTTTTTTTTATGGAAAATCTCAATTGTATATAGCAAGTTTATTAATGCAATATTGCATTTGATGAGCGTAATGTGATCTGAATTAAATGATATGTTCAAGGAAATGTGAACAAAGTTTCAGCTGACAAATGGGCAGATCCATTTATACTTATAATACTCACTTCCTTAAG